GAGTGCGTCAACATCACGTTAGCTACTTTCTTTAAAAGTAATGTAATATCCTCCCAAGTGTTTACGGCAGGTCAGTGTGGTGGTAAAAGTCTAACGTGGCTTAGAATTTAAGGCAAGTTGACCACACAACAATTGTGACAGGCGCAGTTGTACACTTCCGAAGCAGCAGCAGCAGCAGCAGCAGCAGCCACAGATGTGTGAGAGGCTGCTGACTCCTGCTCACTCTCATCTCCTCCTGACGTACCGTCTCTGCTACGACGGCCGAGCAGCTCTCAGGCTAATGCGAGCTAACCGACTGAGATACGGTGTTAACCCGAGGCACCGACGCTCTGTCTAGTCGGCCGCCTTCACACCACCTCTTTAACGAGCTCATTAGCACCGAACAACGAGTTTTAGGGCTAATATTCACTTTAGCATTTCATACATTTTCCAGCATCACGTTAGCTTGCCTGCTTGGCTAGCATTGGCGTTAGCTGTAGCAGGCTAACGAGACCACTAGCATACTTCACACCAGCTGAAACCACACGTCGCAAGTATTAACCGAGTTGATTTTGAGATATTTCGATGAAGTCGTTTTTGCGTTAATGACTCCTGGTGACACTGATCTCACATGCCTGCTCGGCTGCGCCGTAAAGCAGCATCAATGACAAACTCCCTGGATGGTAACGTTAGCTATCCGCCATTTTACAACTTACCTCGTTTTAATTCAAAGACGGGACTGAAACCAAATATTCCAAACGTTGCGCTCTTTGCACAGAGGATGCTTTCGTCAATTCCCTGCACGAACTGTCATTTCCCAACTCTCAGGAATAATAGTTTTATTTGCTAGCTAGCGTTGAGAAGCTCCTTGGTGGCTAATATAGCAGGGTACAGTGTGTTTTCGTTGTTATGCATGCAGCACACACACCACCTGTCGGCGGCTCCCGGTATCGCAGCAGAGAGCCACAGAGCCGTCTGCTGCTCCTCAGCTTCTGCTGCCATCACAGCGTGACTCGGAGCCACAGAGTTGACCTGCAGCAGCTTCTGCATCCAGCCTCAGTCCATGTCTGTTCAGAGATCAGTGCTGCTCCACAGTCACACACCTACTTCTTAGTTTACTTTATTGCTAATTGGGAACCAAAACTAAATAGTGTCAAATATTTTGGCTGATTTTTATGAATTCCATGTTTCCACATTTTGTATTTTCAATCTCTAAATCATCTTTCCTCAGAAGCTATTTTAAGGGTTCAATGTCTCCAGAAATCTAACTCCCACATCCGTGAAATCTGGTGAGGACACAGACAAAACTGTTTCCGCTGATCCAAATAATTGAATGGATCCAGCAGGGGCCAAATGTTTCATTATTGGCCCCTATTGATGGAGGAAACTGTGTAATATTCAAATGAGGGTGATATTGGAGTCCCAGAAAGTTCCTGTAAGTGTACATATATCTGTATCTATATACAGTTGTCTCACATTTATTTACATCCTTCAATTAAAGAAAAGGGAAAATTCCCAATAGTCACTCAAATAACTAGAAACTGAAAAAAGTAATAATATATATATTTTTTTAATGCTACATTATAATTTAGTGAAGTAAGACACTGCTTTTGAATTGTGGTTGAAAAGAATAATTTTAAAAAACAAAACTGTCCCAGACAAATTAGAGCACTTTGCTGATGAGCAGTGGCCAAAATCCAAACACCTGTCAACAGGTGCAGAAGTCTGACTGAGAGTTACAGAAAACACTTGATTGCAGTGATTGTTTCAAAAGGTTGTTCAATAAAATATTAGTTTACGGCTCCCATCATGCTTGTTTGCTTGTTTATTTGCTTTAGTCTATTTCAGTGTATTTCAGTGACAGCTGTTTTTTTCCTTCCTTAATGGGAGGGTATGAACACATTTGAGGACGACTGTATGGATGTATTCATATTTCCAACAAAAAAAGAAAATAACAGTCTATTGTTGACACATCACTGACTTTAGAGGCCTCTCTTATCAGACACAGTCTGTGTGTGTGACAGTAAGTGGTGACTGGATTCCCTGCTGTCAAGGATGAAGAGGAACACGTTTTCAAGTACATGTATGGAAGCACATACTTACAAACTTGTTCCAGTATATATATGGTAACATTTGGTAAGGCAACATATGTGTCCTTAACTTTCAATGTGAAGACAATATAGAAGCAACTTGTGACTTTGTACATATATAACAATGTGTGGTCCTACGAATGAGTCCACATCACCATTTTGGGATTTCAAAATATCAACAAAAAAACAACAACAAAGTATTCTTGGCTTGCTATACTTGCCACACATTGAATTCTACTGATGTTAGAAGCCGAAAAAGTTTATGAAGTCTCTGCTGGAGTTATTCAGTCATTTGGATCTGTGAATTCTGTTTATGGAGGGATGAAAATTGCTTTTTTAATGCAGCCAGAAAGGTTTATAGAACAGTGAAGACTGAACAGAAACTGAAAGAATGCAGCAATAACTGACACAAACTGACTCCTCCAGGTTATTGAGTCAGTGTGTTGGAAAGTATCTACTTTAACCAAAGTCTGACAGGCTTTGGTTCTTACAGACAAAATTTATGAAATCATTTGTGATTGCGTCAGTAGAAATTCTGATGAATAGCATTCACTTCCTGTCTGCGGATTAAACCTAACTTCTGCCTCAGCCCACAGTGACGAACTTGATTCACTGATTATTGATCATCAATGCATGTACAACTGTTACACAGAATTTTACAAAACAGTCAGAACTCTTTGCTGCTACTTCGAGGTGTTTGACAGGAATAAACGCCCTTTTAACAATTCCACGCAATCAGTCCCTAATGACTGGGATGAATCAGTAAAAGGTCAAAGTTTTCATATGGATTTACTCGGTCAGTCGATGAAAGGCTAAGACCAGGTTGTCCCCTTGATGTATTCACTGTCTGCACTCTGTTACAGAACTGGTGCATAAATGATCACAATGTAAACAAACAAAAGTTACCTAAAATTTATATTTTTGGTAATCAGCACCAATATATTATTACAAAAAAGAGCATTTATGTCTTAAAGACTTGGTTAGTGTAATAATGTGGAAAATAGTTGAAGATGGTTTAATTAATTAGTTGCTACTAAAACAAATAATTAGATTAGAAGTTCATTGCATGCTGAGTGAAACCATTTAGTAAATCTTTCATAACAACATCTCATGTAAAATGTTGTATTTCATTTTTTGTTGTTCTTTAATTATATGCTTCTTGCTGCACTGAACGTGTTTAATTCACGGATAATAAAGAACAGAATGGAGAACTCAGTACTGCTCTGAACTGATCACTTCAGAAGAAATTATGACTAACAAACTCACTTGTGAGTGTCAGCTGAATAAACCTCACGCTGTCTCAGCCCACGCTTTGTAGCCCTGCTGACCGGCAGCGACGCACTTGATTCACTAATTATCGATCACCAGTGCAAGTAGAACTATACTACAACATGGTTTACAACAGATATATGCTGCTTATATCCTAAAGATTGTTACTAACTATGGCAGTACCTATTTATCTTTACGAAGACTGACTGCAAGAATAAACATGCAAAAAAAAAAAGGGGTGTTATAGTTTCCCAACCACTAGAGCGCACTGAAGATGACAATCCCTCGATTGTTAGTTGCTGAGCTCTTTCTACTGGAAGCATTACGATGGTATCATGGCAGCTTTGAAACCTCACATTATAGACTGACCTAGAGACCAGAATACTCATATTAATACAACTATTGGTGTTTCTGATATCCCAACTGCTACCAATCAAAATGTACTGATTTTAATACTGATTATATTAATTCTGGCCCAGGGTTGGTGTGTAATGTAAGTGGGATTCCACATCCAAAATAGAAAAAGAATGGTAACTATACTTACCACAGATTACTTTTTTAAAAAATGTACAATTGCTACATGTCAAGGATTACTTGAAACAACATCGCACATGTTGTTGAACACACAGAGTACACGTCATTTTTGTCAGTACTGATTTGACCAACTGCAGATTATGCAAAACGCATTTGTATGGAAATCTTTACAGATGTGTACAGAGAAAAAAACACATTGGTAGTTTCCATGGCTATTTCTTGGATTTGATTTTGAACTAATCCCAAACTGTGCTAATTAAATGACAATAATTTTATTTATTTTTTTTAGCCTTTAGTAGATATAAGACAGTCGAGAGAGAGAGAGGGGAAAGTGGGGGAGGAGAAGTTTGTATACGTAACTGACTCCTTTATAAAGCAGTTTGAACCAACCCTGCACAAGACTGAGTAGGAACTCAAGTGTTTACCCTTGTTAACATGTCCATATGGTGTTTTATTTCGCTTTTATGGGCTTGTTGCCCTTATGCAGCCAGGATAGGGAAGAGAGACAGGGAAATGTGGGGAGAAGAATGGGGAAAGGATATGCAGCAAATGAGCCGCTGGCTGGACTCGAACCATAGCCGCTGTACATGAGTCGCCATCTTATCTGTTTGAGCTACCGGGGCGCCTCCCATATGGTGTTTTTTATGTGCTGGAAGACGCATTGTGAGCAAAATAAGTAGTCAACACCGTGGCTGAGCTTTTCCACCTTAAAGCTGCAGTGTACAACTTTCCAGGGCTGCATATGTAACAAACCCAAAGAACCAATCCTGTCATCTTGCAGGGTGGAACTTTTTATATCATTCTTCTTCAGAATCAGGTTCCAATTCAGACATGTATGGCTGAACTACTCCAATATCAATTTACACAAAATGTATTTTGAGGTGACCGTGTATAATACACATTCAGCACTTTAAATTAGTGGAGCATCAGTTTCAGGCTCAACAGCTGGGTTTCGCCCTGTCGCTGATTCATCTGGCCACACAGTTCTGAGTCGCTTTCTCGTCCAAAAGTTCTACAAACCTCACAAAGACATGATGGTGGATGAAAGAAAGAATCATTTGACAGCTTTGACATTTTATTGTTCCTTTAATCATATCTTACAGGTTTTGTAAGCGGTACCAACTTGAAAAGCCACCGACTGTTAGTGATTATGACTAATTCTATAATCCATGTTGCATCTTTTGTTTTTTGTTTTTTTTTTCACATCCAAATGTACGTGTACATATATATGAGCCGTTCAAAGCCATATCTTCATAGGGATGTGATAGGGAAGATGTGATGGAAACAGATGTGATGCAGTGCAGTGTCACAAGAAAAAACTTGAGTGACGTGAAAAGGAGAGAAAAGTCTATAGTTGTGGCTGGCCATGCTTGGTTAGGGGTTTCATTTTTTTTTTTGCTGATGAGGCTTCTTCTACATGAACTCATGGAAGAAACTGTTTACTGTCCCCTCAGGTGTGTCCTCCACAGGCAGTCCCTGACAAAAGGAAGGCACCAGGAGGAGCTCGGGGTCCTTGATCTCGTTTTCGATCTCCGTGGTGCTGTGAGAAAGTGACAGAAAAACGGCATGGAGATTACTTAAGGGCATTCATTACATCCTGTGCCTGCGCATCCCGCATGTGCTATGAAGTGGTAAAAGCAAGAATCACCAACCCGATAAAGAATGACATGGACTCAGTGAAGTAGAAGGTGCTCACAGGCAAACATCCCGTGGTTACATATATGACGTATTTGCCTAAAAAAAAGAGAACATTCAACTCACAACAACAACAATAAAATGAAAAGGTTTGTGTATTATTTTCATAGCCTCTCTCCCACCTTTCGTGCCTGGCATTGACCCTGTCCAGGAGTTGAGTTTTACTCCCTCCCCTTCAATGGATGGATTCCCAAAATTAAGCGTTGACATAAATTTGGCGTCATCAGGAATGTCTAAAGGGTGCAGGGTGCATTGCAGCTTTTTCTTCTCACAGCTCTGGTTTTTGCTGTCAATCTCGTAGAATATCCCCTGCAAGATACACACACACATCCAGACGTCGAGATGCGAAAACGGCTTCGAGTGACATTTTCACAAAAGGAAGAAATCAGTTACCTCATCAAAAAACATCAGCAGATCCACAGCTAGTGAAGTGTTTGTAGGGTTGCTCTCGTTTGATCTGAATCGTAGCTTCTTGCCCATTGAGTCGTAAGTGAATGCACCGTATGCTTTCACGTCACCCTTTATGGTTATCTGGTTTCATGCATTCAGAGAGAAAGACAGAGGTTTTAATGCTGTGTTTTACAACGCTATAAGGCGGGGGTGTCCAATCCTGGTCCTCGAGGGCCACGATCCCGCATGTTCTAGATGTTTCTCTCTTCCAACACACCTGATTCAAATGATCAGCTCATCATCAAGCTCTGCAGAAGCCTGATAATGATCCTGATCATTTGAATCAGGTGTGCTGGAAGAGGGAAACATCTAAAACATGCAGGATTGTGGCCCTCGAGGACCAGGATTGGACACCCCTGCTATAAGGGGATCTCATGAAATGTTAGTCTTGAGTGACAAAATGAAACAAAGACTCACCACACTCATGAATCCTGTCATGTTGGGTGAATCTGAAAGATAATATCAGTTAGATAAGCCAAAATAGACATTAAATACATTTCAATCTAGTATAACTGAGACAGATTTGTAATCGATGTACTGACTCAAAAGAGCAAAACTTAAAAAATGCCAAAAAGTCAAAATCAGACAACAAAAAGAATAAAAACAATGGAAAGATAAATTCTTACGACAGGGATGATGATGGTGATCTGCACGAGTGGTGGCAGTCAAGCACATGAAGACGAGTAGGGTAACAGCTGCATACATTTTCCTGGTTCGAAGGGAGTCACAAAATGATGTTAGAGATGGCAAAAAGCAACCATAAGCGCATCTAGCTTTCAGTGAAATTGCAGCCGCTTTTATAGGACCAGAAACTGGGAGGAACGACAACTCTTGTGTAAACAGACACAAGATCATAACCCTCCAGACTTTAAACTTCAAGCTGTCCAAACATTTTAGCCCCTGTCCCTGCTGGTGTTTGCCCCATCGGAGACTTTACCCCGGCCATCTTGTTTTATTAGTGATTATGCAGCTGTCTTATGATGCCTTCACCATGCTGTCAAACGCGTGTTTTGCAAACAAGAGGTGAAGTGAGAAGAACTGTGGAGGTTAATCAAGGCAAATGGGGACGCGGTGAAAAGGCTTTGCGGGCCTGTGCTTCACTTTTGGGGAGGTGAGGTCGGACGAGATCAGTCGGTGTCTGTCAGAAACTGAAAACTATCTTTGACTACGACTCTCTGTTCCGCAATGACAGGGGATTGACATACAAAGTACCGCTCTGACCTTAAAAAAAAACCCCTTCCTCATCAGTCATCATGGCTGAGAAACAAAGGGGGAACACGTGGTGCCTGCAAGTGGCTAACACTACTAACACCATTTACATTCATGAGGCTGTAGCTGCACCATAATGTCATTTTCTCATCAGAATTATTCTTTTAAAGACTGGAATTCTCTCTGTGACTGCAAAACTGTTCAAATTAGATCACTTTTTGTTTGTTTGTTTTAATTTTTGCAATCTAATGAATGGTGTTACTCATTTCAAAACTTGGCATGTAAAATGTATTCAGTAAATGACTACACTTCAGAGTGATGTGGCCCAACCCTGCACAAGACTGAGTTGGACTCAGTTCTTAAAGATCCCCTCAAGCAAAAATCTTTTTTTTAAACTTGTAATCACGTCCATGCATTCCAACACCATGGCATGGCTGAACATTTCCACTTTGAAACTGCAGTGAATCATAGAGGATCTCAAAACATGGATTCACACTTCCAGGGTTTCAGAGACACCAAACCAAAGGAATCACTTCTGTCAACTTACAGGATGGGGTTCTTTGAATCATTCTTCTTCTTCAAATTAGTTCCCAGTTCCCTGTGTGTAGCGTAGAATAGTTTTACTACTGATTTCATAATCGTAGTTTTGTTTTTATTTATTAATTTTTTCCCCCTGGCTTTCATCAGCCTGTGAAGCTAAATTATCTAAATGCCAGTGTCAGGACTTTCCAAGCTGCTTTGCTGGAATTTCATGTTTTTATGTATCAATGCTTTATTACAATGAAGAACATTTAAGGATTAGTTTAGCAATCAATTGGCTAGTTAGTTCCTTAAAATCTTTTTTGTGATAGGAAAAGGATCCTCTCCTGACTGATTCTCACTCATAAAATTCTTTGATTTGTAGGGAAAAGAACAACTACAAAGCCGGCAATAAAGACATCCTCGTGGTAATATTTCCAGAATAAAGTGAATATTCAACAAAATGAAAATGTGTACAGTACTTTAAACAGGAATCCTGAACAGTGTACAAAACTCATGTTTGGCATTTGACACGTTGTAAACTTTGGTATTTAAAAATAAAAAATAGACAAATAGGCGTGCATGATTTCTCACTAAGTATTAGAGATCTAATACATTTTAAAATGCTCAGTATGGAGCTGAATGACAGACTGAAAAATGTTAGTCATAAGAGAAAACTGACCAAGACCAAGTGAAAAACACTCTCATCCTTTCTTTTATGCAAAGGGATCCAAGCTAAATAGAAAGCCTGTGGTGTTTACACCAGCTCAACTGCAAAAGCCAAGCCAGAAATGTGTTGTTGTCACAACTACAGTATGTGCAGCTGTCTTTTGTTCTTTTGGACATCAAAAATGTCCTCGTTGTGTCACTTCAGGCAAACACTC